TTTTTATTATAATATTTAATTAAATTTTAGGCAAACCAATGAAGTATGAGTGTGAAAGAGAGCTGTTCCTGGGCCGCCCGAGTGGCTCAGTTGGTTAAGAGTTAGCTTAAGAGCGCAAGCTCTAGCAACAGGGCCGCCAGTTCGATTCCCACATGGGCCAGTGACACTGCACCCAAGCTGAGCTGTCACTGAGCTGCCAACAGGTGGGAGGATGGCTCAGCTGGTGAGAGTATGTGCTCCTAACAACAAGACTGCCTGTTCAATGGTGGGCTATGCCCGCCTGCAACTAAGACTGAACTCGGCACCTTAAGCTGAGCTGCCACCCAGATGGCTCAGTGGATACAGCCTGGGCTCTTAACAACAAGGCTGCTGGTTCGATTCCCACATGGATGGTGGCTACGCCCACCCGCAACTAAGATTGAACACTGCACCTTGAGCTTAGAGGCCACGAGCTGCCGATCTGCTGCCAGATGGTGACTGGCGCCCTCCACAATGAAGATTGAAGAACAACAAACTGGCTGGTCCCCCTCCCCAATTTAAAAAAAAAAGAGAGAGAGAGAGAGCTGTTCCTTTGAAAATTAAGTTCAATACTTTGGAAATACTTGATGAAAGTAGGTCACTGAAAATATGACAATGCAAATAAGTATGGGAAGCGTGTACCAAAAATGATTGGGGAATCATCAAAATTTCTTTAAGATTCTACACTCTGATTACCTTCAGCTGAAGTTTAAAGAAACAAAAACAGAAACATGAGTGTGGCTCATGCAAGAAAAAAATGATACAAAACTCCATTTAGCAGACCTATAATCAAAGTAAGGGCCTTCACACTGTATTATACAATTGCTGAATGGATGTGCCCATATGTGTCTTAAGTTAAAATATAATATCTAAGGTTAGTATATATCTTTTTTTTTTATTCCCTGCTTAACAGGTTTTGCAAATGACTGACCAAATTCAGTCCCTGATTTCATTGAATGAGAAACCTTCTACCTTACTTCCCATTATCTTCCAAATAGTAACAGTACCTTTTATCCAATCCCTTAGTCTTCAGTCAGCATTTCTCCATTCAGATAACAAATATTTTTAGGAGCCTACGAATTACCAGCATTCTTTTATTTTTTTTTAAAGATTTTTATTGGGGAATTGGGGGAAGGGGAACAGACAAGTTGCTGTCTTTTTGTTCTTCAGTCTAGTTGTGGAGGACGTTGCTTCACCGGCCCAAGTTGGCACCATCATTGTGCTCTTCCGGGGCGAGGCAGATCAGTCGCTGGCTTCTGGACGGCCGCTCACTACGGCTTGAGGGCCGCTCATGCTGGCTGCTGGCTACACACGGTAGTCCATGGCAACCCACTGCAGCAGGGGCTGCAGCCTACACCGTCGCCGATGACTCACGGCAACCCAGCTCCAGGTTGAGCTGTTGTTCAGCATCTTAGCTGTAGAGGGCAATGTCACTGGCCCTCATATGTGGGATCTGAACTGGGGCCCTCTGGCATCCCAAGCCAGCTTTTAACCAACGCGTCACTCAGTCGGCCCTAATTACCAGCATTCTTAAAACTCAAATCTAAGCCCCTCACTCCTCTGCTCAGAATAACTCAATGACCCTCCATGGTCCACAAAATAAAGCTAAAAGTACTTAGCACAATATTAAACAATGATAATATAAAGAATATTAAAGATGATCTGGTTTCTACCCACCTTTTTAGCATCAGCTTCTAACATGGTACTCCGTATCCCCTAAGCTTCAGTCACCCACACCCTGGCTTTGGCCCAAACATATGACACCTCTCAGTATTCATTCAGAGACAGCCTGGGGTGAACTCTCATAATTTTACTCATTATTGAAAATAGTAGTTTATTGTGGAAAATGTATTTGTTCATAGAAATTATATATTACAGAAAATGCTAAAAACACCTGAAAAAATTTCACTGAATAAATGTCAAGTTGTAAAGTCAAGAGTATTGCACAATACGTAGTCTGAGGGTGGAGGTGGGAGACTGTTAACTTGTATTTAATAATCAGAAGTTTAGACTTCTCTATATTCAAGATAATTTAGTCAAGGTTTAGAAATCTGCATAGAAATGATAACTTGACTGCCTGTATCCAGTTGTCCACTCAGTACTAGGAAATGTACCTAGGTTCTAGATGACAACTATCAATGGATTGCTGTGTAATTACTGTTCTTAATTTTCTGTTCCTTACATTCACATGCTCTCTTTGGGAGTCTTAATCCTGTGGACTGTCTTAGCTGCCACGACTGCAGAGAACTCTTTAAATGTCTATGTCAGCTAGAGCACCTCTGTCAATTCCACGCTTCTCTTTCCAATTCTTTTGTGTATTTTCACTTGGCAAAATACCATCTAACAGAGTTTAAAATGGAACTTTTGCCAACTCACATTCCTCTATTTTCTATCTATGGGCCCACCCCCTCCAAGGTCTTAGAGAGCTGTTTTGCTCTTTGCCCTTCCTTAGGCCACAACTAGTTGCCGATTATTTTTTCCTATAAAGACTGGATGTTTAAGGGCTTTGAAAACTCTAAGGGTACTTTCCGCTTTACAGTCAAACTTTTTGACATATATGTCCATACTCACTATATTCGTGTTGTTATCTCCTGTTCACTTCTCAACCCAATGTAATCTGACTTCTGTCCCCAAAATTTTACTGAGGCTATTCTCATCGAGGTCATGAATCTCTGCTTTAGTGCTAAATGTATTGTAATAGGTATATCTGTTGTCAACCTAATTTCTTGTAGACTTTGATATTTAGACCACTCCCCTTACTTGAAATGATTTCTCCCCTCAGCTTCTGTGACACCTCTCTATCTCTCTTGCTGCCCTTAAAAAAAAAATTAAATTTAAAAAAATTCTGTTTTTCAGAGTCATGAGTCTTCTTATCTCCTCTCTCTACACACTCCTCTAAGCATTATCATCAATTTCCATGGCTTAATTACCATCAACTCTATACCTCTAGCCTTGTTGTTCACCTGAGCCTTCAAAATGCACACATCTAACTGCCGCTGGATGCACACCTCTCAACCTGCCTGAAACTGATTTACAAAAACGCAAAACTCCTTCTGCTTTTCTTATCTTAGTGAACGGTACCACTGAGTGAACATGCACTCGAGCCTAAAGCAGAGATGCCAGGCTTGACATCTCTTTCTTCCCTATTCTCCAATCAATATCAAAGCTCTGTCAACTCTACTTTTGAAATATTTCTCAAATCCATCCACTTTTTCCATCCTTTCTGCACTACTGTGGTTCAACCCATGATAATATCCCCCACAGATTTCCGAACAGTCTTCTAAATGGGCTCCCCGACTCCATGCTGGCTCCTGTCCTGTTTACTTTCCAGGCTGCAGCAAAATTCCTCTTTCTAAACAGACAAATTTAATCCCATCATTTCCCACCTTTTCTAGCAATGTCTTCACACTGCCCTCAGCAGTAATTCTAATCTCTGTCACATGGTTTAAGGGGGCTCTTTTGTGATCAACTCTGCTCACCCCTCAAGCCATCTTTGTCACTCTCTTACTCTGTGGTGCTGCTTTAAGTTCTTAGACTGCGTCGGTTCTCTGCCTGTGGACTTGGGCCATCCTCATGAATCTGTTCCCCTCTGATCAGGCTCTCCTTTCTGCAGATGACCTCTGCACCCTCCCCCTACAATGTATTCATCCAACGTTCTTTTTGAACACTTACTATGTACAGGCATTGTTTCAGGTGGTTAGACTATAGCAGGGAGCAAAGTGGGTACATCGCTGAACTCATGAGGCTCAGAGTTTTCTGGACAGACAGGCAAGCAAACTTAGGCCATTGAGACCTTTGTGATGAGGGAGGACATGGGAAACTCCAAGAGCTCAGATGAGGGCACCTCACTCAGGCTGGGAGCAGGAGGCTTCCTAAGGGCAGAGTTATTTAGAGTGTTAGACCTAAGACAGAGTAGAAAGGTAAGAAGCCAGGGAGCTTCAGAAGGACTTCAAAATGTAAATCTTTTTTATCTCTTTTGCCTTTTGCCCCCTTCTCTGAACTCTCCTTCTCCACCTCCCACTATCTCCATTTTTAAAATAAACCCTTTGGTTGTTTCTTATTGTACCCCTGGAAGGTAAAAATTTTTCTTTCACTGGTGGCATCCGGCATCCATTTTCATACAAGCACTCTCATCCCTTCAGCAAAACCACTACTAACTCCTTTTCTTCAAATCTCTCCTCAAAGTGAAAATGAAGAAACCTCATCCCTTATAGCAGCCACGTCATCCATTTCTTGGACAAAGCTGTCTGCTCACTTGCAGCTAACTAGGGTCACGCCCAGATATTCCTTTTTTATCCTTCTGCTGTACACATTTTCTAATTGTCCATTTATTCATGTTTTCCAGTTGTCCACAATGTCAAATTACCTATAAGAAGTAGAAAACCCATGGTCCCCCCTCATTGTCCGAAATAACACCGCACATATTAGTTTTAAGAAGCCTTTCCGCATAGCTTTGAGATTCCTTTCAGACCCCAGGCTCACTGGAATACCATGGTGGTAAGGTTTCTAGACTTACTTGAGCTTTATTTAGGCCATAGCAATACCTCTTACATACAGTAAAAATTAATAATCAGCTAAGCCCACCCCACAGATATCTCAACTTTCTATTTTTAAGGGGGGCACATCTTGTTTAAAAAATTACTTCCTTTAGGGCTTGTTATTTAACATAGCCTTTCCATTCAAGTAGTGGTCCCCGTTTTAAAAGGTTTTAAGAAGATAAGAAATATCCTAGGCAGTCACCTGTACCTTCCGTCCTCACCAGGGTAAGGAAGAGGGCGGCCATACCTGTGATTGCTCAGTGGATGCAGATGACGCTTCCCTGCATTGGGAATGTCATTGTTTTCCTCACTCACTACAGCCTGAAGATTTGGCAGCAGTGCTGGTGCTTATATATAGAAGGAAGCTAATTACTTCATTTCATTTTTTTTTTGTTGGAACACTTTCCTACCCACTTGCAGATAATCTTCCCTTTCTTTTAACAGCTTCTCTCTGAAGAAACCGACAATAGCACAGTCATTGGAAGAGCTGCAGTTGGAGCCCAGGAGGAGACAACGGAAGGCTGGGACCATGAGGTGTGGGCTAGAGGTCAGTGTCCACCAGCTCCTGGGTAATTGGCCTCCCAGTTTCTCCGAAGGGAGCTCTTACTAGCGGCAGATGGAGACTTCTACTTAATTCCATATAATATGTAATTATGCCACTGATAAAGGCAGCCATATTTCTATATTTGTATAACAATGGCTTCATTCAGGGTTTTTAAGAGGCATCATTGCTAGTTCTTTGGGGGACTTTATGAGCAATCATTTTCTTGGTCTGAAGCAAAAGAAGAATCAGAACACAGGGCTGCCTTTTTCAACTTTTGTTTTTTTTTGGAAAAAAAGCACCTGAGTGTGTTAATCACAAGCACCTTTGTGATGACCCTGGACACAGGAGCACTACAGGCATCTGTGACCTGTAAAGCCTACAGTACTTTAGTCAATTTTCATGTCCTTCCACAGAGAAATTAACCAGCCAATAAGGAGGACAAATCATGGAAAGAGCAGTTAATAAACCAAGATGTAGATAATTTTACATACCATCTGGCAACTCCTAATAATATGAAATGGCTGGAAATTTCAAAAACGTCCCATCCATTCTGAGAGAGAGTCTCTTCTAATTGTTGTTTAACATTTACAGTATATATTTAGAAATTTAAGAGCAGAGCTGCTATATATGGTATCTGATTACAGGGGTGAGTTGGAGGTGAGTAGGGCCAAAATCAGGCTGTGCTCTGGCCAAGAAGCTGTACTCCCTGGCTTCCTCTAATTCATAGAGATGGGCTAGTGGAAGCTCTGTTTAAGAGACTGAATAATAGGGCTGGCCAAGTGGCATGTTGGTTAAGAGTTGGCTTAGGATGCCAACTCTGAGCAGCAGGGCCCCAGTTCAAATCCACATGTGGGCCAGTGATGCTGTGCCCTCTACACCTAAGATGGTGAACAACAGCTCGACCTAGAGCTGGGCTTCTGTGAGTCGCTGGCAATGGTGTAGGCTGCAGTGGGGCTGGCCAGCAGCTGGTGTGTGTTTTCATGAGCTGCCATGAGCTGCCATGAGCCACCGTGAGCAGCTGTCCAGTGGCCAGAAAGCGACTGCCTCAGCCGGGAAGAGCACAATGATAATACCAACATGGGCCAGTGAAATGACATCCTCCACAACTAGACTGAAGAACAAAAGGACAGCAACTTGTTTGTTCCCCTCCCCCAATTCCCCAATAAAATCTTAAAAAAAAAAGAGACTGAATAATAGAAAATTGACAAATAATCTAAATATCCAATAATAAGGTATGGTTAAAAAGTATACATGGAATCATTAAATGAAATCATTAAAACAGTGTGTGTGTGTGTGTGTGTGTGTGTGTGTGTATATATATATATCCATATGAAAAAGCAGGTTATAAAATATGTACAACCCATTTCGTGAAAGAAATATATGTAAACATACAGAAATACAAGCATATGCTGTGGGTTTATGTGTGTATGTATATGCACATATACAGAGGGTGCCAAAAAATGTATAAACATTTTAAGCAAGGATAAAACTCTTAAAATTGTAATACTCAATATATACTGATAACAAAAGATGAATACAAGTCACGTTTGACTGCTACAATTGCAAGAGGTGTTCAAAGTGGTTACTATCAGCGTCCAGACACTTCTGATTACAGCAAACTACTGCTTGAGCAACGTTGACCAAAGTAGCCACTTGTATACATTTTTTTGGCACCCCCGGTATTAAACAGTAGAACCCCTGCCCCTATCCACAGTTTTGCTTTCCATGGATTCAGTTACCTAAGTTCACCTGCAGTCAGGAAATACTAAAAGGAAAGTTGCAGAAATAAACAATTCACAAGTTTTAAATTACTTGCTGTTCTGAGTACTGTGGTGAAATCTCGCGAGTCCCCATTCATCCCACCCCAGAACGTGAATCAGCCCTTTGGTATCTACGCGCTATATATGCTCCCAGCCCCGTCAATCACTTAGCAGCCATCTTGCTTATCAGGTTGTTTGGTGGTTTCACAGTGCTTCTGTTCAGGTAACCCTTATTTTACTTAATAATGGCCCCGAAGCGCAAAAGTACGGATGATGGTAGTTGTGGTAACGCCAAAGAGAAGCCGTAAAGTACTTTCTTTAGTGAAAAGGTGAAAATTCTCGACTTAATAAGGCTGTTTATCATCTCACATCATCACAAGAAGGGTGAGTACAGCACAAGATATTTTGAGAGAGAGACCACATTCACATGACTTTTATTACAGTATATTGTTATAATTGCTCGATTTTATTAGTTATTGTTGTTAATCTCTTACTGTGCCTAATTTACAAATTAAACTTTATCATAGGTACCGTATTTGCCGGCGTATAAGATGATTTTTTGGCCCTGAAAAATATGCCTCCAAGTGGGGGGTTGTCTTATACGCCAGGTACACTTCAGATAGACTGCCCATAGTGCTTGCCCCGTGCCATAGTGGCCTCCCGATGCCCGCCCACTTCATTCCACATACCGTTCAGGCATCAGCAGCGCTGCTGGGTGTATGCTCGGCTGTTATGCGATTTTGCTGTTATGCGATTTTACCACACTCGCAAAATCGCACACAGCCGACCATACACCCAGTATGATAGCGCAAAATCGCGAATCGCGATTTATGTATATGTTTGATTACATACAGCCTTGTGACAGTTTTCCTGCATGTCATAAGCATTTGAATATAAATATAAATGTTGAAATCAAATCTGATATTGTTTTACCTTTTATTTGGTGTGTGGAAGGTGTGCGGAAGAGGGGGTAGTCTTATACGGCGAGTATATAACAAACTCTGTATTTTGAGTGGAAATGTTAGGGGGTCGTCTTATACGCCCAGTCGTCTTATACGCCGGCAAATACGGTATGTATGTATAGGAATATAAAGGAATTATGCATTTGGGACTCTACATTAGTTTTATTAGGAAGATGAGAGAAAGGAGATACGTTTAGATGTGATTTCCATTCCCTGACTCCTCCCTGTGGAAGAATTACATTCTGGTTAATCCTTGAGATAAGAGAGGCTGAGGCTAATATCTATCAATCCAGGTTAGCATTTCTATCAGGCATTGTACTGGTATATTTAACATTTACATCACTCATGTAGACAGGTATTTACCATTTAAGAGGCCGAGGCTCAGACAAATTTTAACTTCTGCATGCTCACACAGCCAGTAAGGTGGTGGTACCAAGATTCATACTCAAGCCTTTCTGACCCCAAAGACTCTGCTCTTTGCAATTAAGGCAGTTATAACATTCCATGGTAGTCGGTGGCGTTATTGTTCCAAATTATGACTGAGATACGGTCAGCTTGAGGAAAGGTTGCTAGTAAAGTTTGTTAAAATAAGTGAGAGAGAGAGCATGTGCCTTACAGGGATAGGTTATTATCTCCTGATAAGTAACAGCATGGCAGGTGCTCTTCAATTACCGTACTGCCAAACAGGGCACTCTTTCTCATGCCCTGGTTGAATGCAGTGCACTGGTACGAAGATGCTTTAGTAAAGACAACAGTCTTTATCTAAAGATTTTTTTTTGGGGAAAAAAATAACTTCTTAAGATAAAGTTTGGAATTGTCTAGGCTCTGGCTCAATTCTGAACCAACAATAGTGAGAAACAAAAGGGCAGAGCAAAGTGAAGCTTTTCCCATTTTATCGAATTGCTCTTTTATGCATGCATCAACGTATATGGACTTTTGGGCACTTAACAAACATTTTACAGACCACATATTCTTGTAAGAAATGTAAGGACCAAAGACATCTCCGGAACAACCCAAATAGCCTCTGGTTACATTTGACAGAAATTAGACTATAAAATGGGTGAAAGTTTGATTTTGTTTCAAGTGTTGTTCACTCTCTAGAAAATACTGCTAGCATCATGAATATTAGTAAATATAGCTTATCTGAGTGAGCAATATATAGGCTGACTAAGCATCCTGATTTATCTGGGACTGAGGCGTTTTCCCAGGATGTGGGACTTTCAGGGCCACTGAAACTGCCACTAACCTGGGGTAATCCCAGGCAAATCTGGATAATAGGCCACCCTGCAATAAGATCAAATGTTTCAGTTTTTGTTTCATATGCTAAACTCATATGAAAATTTAAAATGCTAAGGAAAAAAAGAACCTCTTTTATTTTTAAGACACCAACTTCTATTCAATTTTTTAAATTACACATTTATTAAACCTTAAAATGATTGCTTTTTTAGAAATAAAATGATGCAATAAAATATTACTTTTTTATAAACTAAAGATGTTTTTTCATAGCTCAAAGGAATGATTTCATTTCAATCATTTCATTACTTTAAAGGATGTCAAAACTTTTGCTTTAAAAGTAAAACAAATAAATAAACCAACAAATAATAAAAAAAAAGCACAAAATGAAATGACTCCTGAAACGAATATTGTGAAAGAGAAGCTGTAGTGATATGAGCTAAAGTCACTGCACTGGCAGTGCTGGTGGTGATTCTGATTAGGACTCTGACCTGGGATGTGATGGAAAAAAGGACTCAGAGAAGCAGCTAGGTATCGTTGTATTTGGAGATACAGCAGAAAGCTGCATATGTGGATTGCTGAAAGAGAATGATGGGATGGAATAATCCACTCGGCCATTTCCTGTTCTCAGGCCTGCTTGACTCCAAGGTCAAGCTGAAATTGAAGTGGGAAGAATAGGATAGAACCCTAGAAATGTACACCCAGACCTGAATATTATCCTCTTTTTGTGCTTAAGAGCAGGCTTCAGGCAATTCTGTTTATTGCATTAGAATTTAATAATAGCTGAGTGGTTTTTAAAATACATTTTAGAAGGAACATTGTACATGCTTGTGATTCATTCTAATTTAAAATATAAGGTGTTCTATTTTCATTCCTTGCTTTTATATTGTGCTAACTGTACATAAATTGAAAATGATTAACTTTTGTCAAATGAAAGAAGCTGGCTACAAAGCAAGATGGTAATTGTAATTTTGATTTTTCTTTTTAGAGTGCAGATTTTATATACACTGAGAAAAAAACAAGTTAATTAAATTTAATGAGTGTTACT